GAGAGTGTTTAATGATGTCTTCCTTGCCCATCACGCCATGACCCAGTTTCAACCACACGGCCATTTTGCAACAAGTGCGTGACCCTCGGCGTCACCCGACTGACTGTATGATCGTTCTGTTCAACTGATAAGCTAGGATTTATTATCGTTATTATCATTATATTGTCACATGATTTGTTTTACTTTATATGCAATGTCTTAAGTATCGAGGAAACAACCCCGATTGAAGGTCATGTATTTTGTGACGTCACCAATTCGTGTGTAGGTACGGCTTCTAGATCCGTGCCAAAATTTCATTATTAATTTTAATTTCTTTTGGGAATATTATATGCGAGAACAAATCTTGTCATAACGACATGTTTTTTGGACAAACTATGAGTAAATCTTCTTCATCTTCTACTTTATGCGTATCACAATGCAGGAAAATTCTATCTTGTAATGTTGTTTTGGGGCGTGTGTATCTATCTGCCTGTTTCTATACCAAGGTCATGATTATGGTACTTATCCTGAATTTGGTTAAACTGATTTTTTGTTTAATATTTATAACATTTGATAAATACTGTTCATAACAAAAATCTTTCTTAAATTTTGGGTATGTACATAATTTTCTATCATCTTTCATGTTTGATCGCCAATGATCAGTGTATTTCTGTGACCCAAATCATGTAATTTGCTTATTAATATTAGATTAATACCAGTACTGGGAAAACAAAGGATTGTGAGGGGTAAACCACATGCCACCGACATGCCTTACATTGTAATAGGCGGTCGGGAATTGATACCAAGTATAGCAAAGGGTAGTTTGTCTTTAAAAGGAACCACACGTTTTTTGTAGTCTGCAGATCCATAAATGTACCAAGATACATCATAGGTGTGAGTAAGCCCATGTGTGGTAAATATCCCTTGAAACAAAACTGAGTGAACTGCATAAAATTGAATCACGGTGTACCTTCTACCTATGGTTCATAGTCCAATGTCCGGTCATATTTTACTGACTTGCCACTGTCAAGATATCAACCAACAACAGTATCAAGATATCAAAACGCAAAAATGGCAAAAATTATCGTCAACAAAGACAAAATAAAGTTAGGATAACGTTGATCTGGAGCTACTGTACCTCCATGATTCGACTTCGTGAAATTGAAATAAACAATACACGGCTGAACAGATTATTAACTAACCTGTTTACTTGCTCCACCAAGGGATACTTTCGGCCTCGATCGATAATCACCATTAAATCCAAACATTGTAAATCTTTTTACAATCTCGGCGACGAACTATTGGAGATTCACTGTGCTGTTGATCACCGGAGCAGTCGGCGTCTCCGAACGTTGGGTTCTAACGTTACAGTCGATAATGTTCTCCAAAAACTTCAAAAACAAATAATGTTCTGCGCATATATACATCAAGAGCTCCGATTACTTCAATGAATTTTCCACAAAATTATTCGAATAAAAAACGATATATACAGGAAATAACTTCGAGAACATTCGCAACAACACAAGGGGTAAATCCAACATGGCGCTAAACAATGTAAAACTGATGCTATGATTGGTGCAATCTCCACTTATCAATTTTCAACAACCAATCAGCAACGCTGTAACTAAACATTTTTATCTGATTACGTCACGGGAAATGCCTTGTAATGATGACACCAAACAAAACCTTCAATTTTAGCGAGTCATTCTCAGCATAGGTCAATGACGATTAAACACATACTAACTGGCGGTGTTTTTTTCATATATTGATTATGGCTAAATTTTGGAAGACGTACTTACACACGAATTGGCGACGTCACAAAATACATAACCTGAAAATATTCGTTTTCCCATTTAGGGTTTCTCGATTCTTTATATATATGTATATATCTTTGAAAATGTGTTTATAGGGTACCTTTCATGGATGTGTATATTTTCTTTTTCTTTGGGGAGGGGTTAAAAAGTTATTAAATCATAGCAATTACAATTATGGTGTTGCCATCTAATGATACAAATTCATAATGCAAACATTTAGCGGCCACTAGTCGAAGTCAATATATTAACTAGCTGCAGTTCTGTAGCTCGCTTGGTTTCGCTGTCGGTTATTTTGTTCGTCGTGGTGTTAACGCGAAACCAGGGAGCTACAGTTCCATCCTATGCGAGTTACCATATTTTACCGACCTGAAATCAGGTCGGGCCGTAACAGCCGTTTTTTTTCATTTATTTTCCGCCTCAAGTTT